GGGGGCGGGGTTGGGAGGGGGGGGAAGGATGGACTCAATGTGTTTCTTAACACCATCTCATTTCATACCTCGTTGAACTATATTGCTCTTTCACTTCTTTCGGAACTCAATTGTATAAATGAATAATGATACGAATTTGGGGGGGGGGGGTTGAGGGAGATTAATTTTAATAGCATTACCAATCATCAGCAAAAAAACCTTACAATCTCACAGTTTTATAGACTTTATAATGCTAATTGTTTTATATTTCTTAATTTAACTTCAGAGGCTTAATCTTCTCAATTAAATTCCTATTTCTTTAAAGACATTTTATAACGATATAACCTCATTATATATCAATGCTAAGACCTTCAGCACTGGTGTCACTTTTGCATAAGCATTTAAGATTTGCTCAAAGATATTCATCCTTTTGAACCTACTTAGTCAACCTATTAACGGCTTCTAGAAAGTGGCACTTAAAAAATCGAAGAAAGCTGTTTCTTTCCCCTTTGTGAAGAAAATTCAAGATCTTGAATAAATGTACTTGGACGGTGAAAGTAAGAATTGTCTGTAATAATTTTAGATTGTAACAAGTCTAACATTGGATCAAGGCGCCGTTCCCAAAGGTGTACTACGATCTCCAGAGCCAGCTGGAGTATTTCATATGCCTCAGATCTTCTATTTCACCAAAATCAAACAAGCCATTTTCAACTTAATTCCAGTTTGGCCAATCGTGGTTGGATTGGTACTAGGCATCCTACTTCTTACCTTTTTAGTCCTCCTTCTCTATCGGTTCGGCTTCTTTAGAAGACGAAAACACAAATTAGCTGTCTCAGGTCGTCGTAGATGGCATGAAAATATGGAAAACGAGGCAAATAAACGCGATGCCGACGGACCAAACGGCATTGATGGGGATCTCGACACTTTTGGTAGCATTCGATTTGCCGAAGAGGCGAGAAGGCGTAGATTGAGGTTAAGAAAACATCCCGAAGTAGTCAGCATTTTGCATCCCGATGAAATTCAGAAAGAGACTGAAGTGCAAGGTCAAGACAATCCCGTAGCCGAAATTGAACCCCCCACGTTACACGAAGAAAATGGCAACGCGGATGCCATATCCCCAGCCCCACCTCAACAACAACAACCCTTACTAGAATCCATTACTAATGACAAACCTGCTGCCGATACGATGAAGGTGGCGGGAGATTAAGCCCTCGATTCTGACTTAGAGAACAATGCCCACATGATCAAATATATTTGAAAAAAATATATATTTATTTCTTCATCCTACGCTTTTGCATTCTACCAGAAACTGAAGAACAAGTATGAATTTGCGTCGCGACTTATATGCTATGTAGCATTAATACCACTATTTGTTCAAATAGGAACTCTCTTTGTACTTTCTGTTTTTTTGAGTTTGCTTGGCATCTGTGATCTCTATTTCATTTAATAGATTAAATAAATTCTCATTTCGATACGGTCTTTATTTTGTCTTGTTGCAAGTTTACCTGTTGGCACTAAAATGAGGAAGAATCTGTATGGATTTATTTTTACCTTAAATACTCAACATTTATCTCCAGACTGGTGTATGAGATTGAATCCCATAAGAATTCAAAGTTCCCTGGACGAGTGTTTTAATCCCTTGGGTGGTCACGCCACCCTAATTTCGTTTTCTATCTTTTACAAATGAGAGCAGTTAAATGAGCGTGGTTGCTATGCACTTATCATACCAATACCCACTAGAGTTGACTAGAGGCGAAATGACCGCTCAGTCATGCAAAATTTCTTTGTTTTATCACGAAAATACATCTAGATGGAGAATAATAAAGCCATTATATGGGGTTTGAAAGGGTGGGGTTTGAGTAGAAGAATAGGAAAGAGTGGGGAGTACGCCTTCCTGACACGATTAAACTGCACTTCAGAACATTCTGGAGGATGCAGTCATGCGCGCAGAGGGCGTCTCAACTAGTCAGCTATTAAAATTCATTCGAATTATGTTAACTGTATACAATTACAAATCACATTTATTGTGAACATAGTTATAATGGACGCTATATCTTCTTTTATCCACTGGGTGATCGCTTCACTAATTATGGGATCCTTTTCCTATTTGGAAAATGGGAAGAGTCAAGGCTTATTTGTGTAGCAAACCGCTACAGTAGTGTGGAATTCAATGCATATACGCACTACTCTGTGCCATATTCAGGATATGGGGTGTGCAATAGACTTACTTCCATGTGGGGGACCCTGGGCAACGTATACTCATACGGCAAAAAAGTCTATTAACCGGCGATTGTCTTCTGATTTCAAACTACCGTGACCCCACTGTATGCCATATTCGACCCCTTTCACAGTACTCATTTTACCTTTTCTCTGTCTTTGTGTCTGTCTCTTTTACATCTGTGAATCACTCTTCTGTTCCGACACCCCTCGGCTTTCTGTTACTTTGATGTTCCTTCCCCCTGTGAAACCTCGGCTTTCTGTTACTTTGATGTTCCTTCCCCCTGTGAAGCCCAAAGTCAGATAAAGGGCTAATGATAACTATCAAAACGCCTTCCATTTGAAATAAATAAATAAATAAATATTCAGGATATTTTGACTTCACTAAGAATGACAATATTCCCAGGTTTCATACCGGTAACGTTCAGATCTTATTGAAAGATTGAATAGGTTAGGTAATTAGTCTTCTTAAATTAACATAAATTCTCTTGCATAAAATGAAATATTTTAAGTAGAACAAAATAAATATTTGGAATGTAACATGTATATTAATTCTGATATTGGTTATTTACAAAATTTAACAAAAAATAGTTAAAATGGGGGAAAAAATTTTGTCATTGATTGACATTGCTCGGTGCAAATAGAGAACGTTAGCTCAAGCCCTTGTTAACATTCTGTTCAGGAAATTGAGGCTGTTTGGAGATACTTATAAGTTAATATTAATCAAGGCGTACAAACTATATAAAATTCAGAAAAATTTGCTTTACGCGTAGTGTGGTTCGTTTTTTTCAAACGAAAAACGTATGAAGAACGGGTTTGGTAAACAGAGTTTAATTAAACCTCGTTGCAAGTAGGGAGTGTGAATTCCTGATTTGAATGCCAAAGGAGATAAACATTTCCTTGATCGGGAACAAAAATGAAGATTCTGAAGAATGAAAAAAATGAAAGAAGTCGTTTCACTACTACTTAACTATTGTTGAGTCTTACAGTCCACAAGAGAAATTCAGGCCCAATAATTTCGTTTCGGAATTGTACCTTTCAATGGAAAAATAGTAAAATGTGTATTTTAATAAAC